CCACAAATTCTCCTAAATCACTCGTACGCACAACTTAAGAACAAATCTGTGCGTACGAACGGTTTTTGCATGAGGCCCAATGTTCAAGGACAGTGTTAAAACAGTGAAATGCAGTTTAGCATCCTCTCACAGGCAGCAATTTTTAAAATATAACAAAAAATAAATAAAAATCTATACATGGGCAGTAGAATCTATACATGATGGCTGAAGGGTTCATGGCTTTCACAGCTTGAGGAAAGAAGCTGTGATTCAACCTGTTAGTCTTTGCTTTCAGTTGTCTGAATCTCTTTTTAGAGGGTATGGGATATGTGAAATCCATTGATGAGGAGGGCCGTGGTCTCGGTATGGGTGGATCTTCTTAAATCCATGACCATCTCCTTGGTTTTATTTGTGTTCAGTTCCAAGTTTTTGTTCTTACACCATACTGCCAAGTGCCGGACCTCTTCCGTGTAGGCTGACTCATCGTTGTTCAAAATCAATCCCACAATGGTGGTGTCATCAGTGAACTTGATGATGTTTTTGAGGGTGTGAATGGGAGAGCAATCATATGTGAAGAGTGAGTAAAGAAGGGGGCTGAGGACACATCCCTGTGGGGTACCTGTGTTCAAGATGAGAGTTGAAGATCTGCTGTCTCCCGTCTTGACGTGTTGGGGTCTGTTGCTCAAGAAGTCCAATATCCATAAACATAGTGACCTGCTTCGGCCCAGATCACTCAGGTTTTTCATCAGGTTTTGTGGAATGACTATTAAAAGCTGAACTGAAGTCAACAAACAACATCTTTACATATGAACGTTTCTGGCCTAGATGGGTGAGGGCTGAGTGGAGAGCTGTGATCACAGCATCCTSTGTCGACCTGTTGGTCCTGTAGGCAAATTGGTGTTGATGGACGTTGGCTGGAATGGTGGATCTGATGTGAGGGATGATGAATTTCTCAAAACATTTGGATGATGGGAGTTAGGGCGACTGGGCGGTAGTCATTTAGGCAGCACACCGTGTTTTTCTTTGCCACTGGGACAAAATCAGTGTCTGTGAGATTGTTTAGATTTCCTCATGAGTGGAAAAGTCAGATGGTTCACAAACACCTTGTGTTTTAAAGGCACGAAGAGGCAGTTTTCGTTTGCTCTTCCATGTGGCAGAGCTACAGTCTGCAGAGATGCTCTGAGCTGTTTTAATGTTATTTATAATACAAATCATACGTTGTTTTGATTCTAAGCATTAACAACAGTTTTATTCCTGTATTCATTAGAATGTTGAGCTCTTTTATGACGTCTTAGCTGTAACTTTAGTTTTTGTAACTGTTTGTTTTGAAATATTCAACATTATTTACATTGTTTTAATAAAAATACATTAAGATCTTTTTAAATTTATTTCAGCATAAATGTTTTGCTAAATTAGTTACAATTTTGCTAAATTTAATGTTTTGCTAAGCCAATTTAATACTATCTACAAATTTCAGCTCCAATTTAGCTATTTTTAAGTTTTTGTTTTGCTCATTTTTAGCTTTTGATTGTTTTATCTTGAAGTTTTTTCCAGTTTAGTAATTAGCAGTAAAACATTCTGCACTGTCAGGGGATTTTTTTTTTATTTTTAAGTTATTTTGTTATGAGCCGACTGCTGGTTTCATATCAAGCAGATTTGTTGGTATTTATTGAATTTAATATCGTGTTTTTTCTCTCCTGCCTGTAGAAACAGGAAGAGACAGAACCGGGCTTTGTGTGATCAGTCTGGGTCTCTTCTTCTTTCACAGCGGCTGGTCATACGGTCGACCTCGTGCTTCCATACAAGACCACAGTCTGGAAACTCTGCAGGGATTAATGTTTACATCAGCAAACTGAGGACGTAGCTTCTTTAGATATACTGTAGCATGTTTAATATATGATAAGCTCTCCTTAGTTATGATGTTTCTTGTTTAGACACTCTCTCATGCTCTTCATGCTACGTTACAGTTTGCTTCAGATGTGGTCCAACTGGGATCCAGGCTCCCTGAACGGCTCTGGGGCTTTTTCCCAAGCCTTGAGCCCCAAAAATAGTTTCTCCTGCCCTCCCTGGTGGAGAAACATAGTTTCCCACTCAAGAGCCGAGCTCGGGGGTCCCAGCTGAGTGAAGCATGTGTAGGACTGATAATCATCTGGTTCTTTCCACCAGTTTAAAGTAATAATTTTTCATTCTCAGTAACATTAAAAGAAAAAACTTACATCAGATCATGCTTCTGTGAAATGCTGTGAAAAATTACATCGTAAAATCTGAGACCACTCAGTAACTTTGAAGCTAAAGATGATTAAAATAAAGTTTATTGGTGTATTTCTATTATACACAAACATTATGTAAATACTACTTCAGATCTTATTTGGACAATGAGTGGTCCTGGTCTTTACCCAGCAGCTGCCTGTAAATGAATATATATAAATGTAAACATGTGAATATACTGTATATACAGTGGGTAAAATAAGTATAAGTATTGAACATGTCACCATTTTTCTCAGTAAATATATT